AACCGACAAGATCCTTAGTTATGGATGCGTTATGGAGAATGACACAAAAAGGCTAGGCGTACAGCACAATTGTATGCCCGAAGATACCCTGACCGTGTGACCCCAACACCCAAAATTTTCAAGAGGCTAGAAAATTCGTTGCGTAAGAAAGTGGCCTGCTAGCGAGAGGAAACGGAACCAGACTGCGACTAGTTTGGAAACTGTAGTATAACTTCTTGCACAAATTAATGAGAATCCTCATCTGGGAGTTATGGTACAAATTGCTATTGCTAGATAATAAATGATAAATAAATTTCATCCTAACCTAATATCTGTACCTGGAGCATGCACTTCGATCCACAAAACAACCACAAATATTGGATTTTTATAACTTTATAAGAAACCAAATGCAAATTAATCCCAATTTTATTGAGTGTGTTTTGTTCAGTGATGAAGCTAAAGTCGGCAATTTATTACAGTTGCAGGACAGTCTTGAATGTATTGAATGTGTTTCGTTCACCTACCAGGCAATAAAAAAAAAAACATAATTTGCCTACAAAAATCTCTTTTAGATTCGACAAACATGTCGGTTTTCTCGTTATTATCGTAAGAATGCATTGGCATTTTTCTGACACTGACGTTTCTATATATACACTTATAAGCAAACTTTGATACAATTCAGTTTTGAAACATTGTAATCCAGGCTCAAGTGGAATCGATATTATGGGTTGCCTATTTTAAAAACACAAATGGGTCATCTTAGCTGAATAATCCTGTATATAAACCACTCAAAATTAAGTATGTAGGGATATTACGTGTCCGTAGAATGTTTCTTTAGAGGATCTTTTTTTTTGTATATAATATTAATAGGTTCATAGCAGCACATTTACATAAAAAAGTCAAAATAACAATGTTACAAACTGGTTCGATGTATTGGGGTAGGAGACGATTTCCTCCTTATCTGTATACCATTGCGACGACTGTCATTATGAACACAATACCGCGGTTTGTAGGTGAACAGAATGTCTTCCCATGTTGCGTCCAAATTCTTCTCTCGCGATTGTACTCCATAGTTAAGGCTAGACGGCGAAGGGATCTGCGAACTTCAACCTCACAACAAACGATCCCTCACGGTTTGATTCGAAATCCTTATCCCACTGGTGTTCACAAGGCTTTGAAGGTGCTGACAAGCTGTCGCAAAAGGTTGCCACCTCGTTTGTATTACTAAAAATCTATCCTCTCTAAGGCCCGGTTGTACAATCGCTGGTCAAAAGTGCTGGTCAGTAGTTACAGTTAACTGATAGTTATAGTTATTTACGTGGCAAGCTTAGTAAATTAGCCTTTACGGGCGAGCCGGAATGTTTGCAGGGCGAGCGACGTAGGAGCGAGCTCTGTAATCCGGTGAGCCCCAGTAAAGGCTAGTTGCAAGCGAGCCGCGTACAACGTTTTACTTCCTCTTGCTGAAAATCCTGAAAATGAATAACTTTGGCATCTCTAGAAATTATACTTGAAACTACAGTCATAGAAATTGTAGTTATTTTTCATAGTTTGCTCCGGTAACTATGGAAAATTGAATTGTTTGAAAATAACGGGACTGTCAATTTGTAAATTCGATTAATAATTTAAATAGTTTAATTTTGTTTCTGAGCTCTGTTAATTGTGGAATTCGATGAAGATGAAGAGTTTGAAGGTGATTTTAACGTTAGTATTAGCACAGTATTAGTGAGATTAAGAAAAAGGCCGACGCAGCGAATGTGTGTTTGATTCCGGTGCTGTCATGATAACGTTTTACAGGCACGGTGCCTGTAAAGCTGCCACGGTAACGCTTTACAGGCAGGGTGCGTGTAAAGGCTAATTTACCGAGTTAGTTCAGACGACAGTAAACGAGCTTTAACAAGACAAGAGGAAGTAAAATCAGTAATGCGTCTTTGAACCCCGTTCCAACTGTTGGTTGAGTAACTGGAAGTTAATATTAAATTTCCTTTCGTTGGTACTAAACACTGCACTTGTAAGCATGCGCTGTTCGCTCGCATTGTCATATGAGTTGTTCAGAAGCCAAATTGCCAGAAAATTAAATAAATTGATAGTTTGCAAAATACGTTTTAAAGAAATCAGCCTCTACCTGAACAAATGAACAGTATTTTAATCATTGTTTTACATCGATGTATATGATGGTATGTGAAAAATGTCACATTTTTTTTTATATATATACTGCGCCCAAATAGCGAATAAAATTAGAATTTTAAATTGTGATCGTTGGCATTTAAAAAAACGGTGCTCAAGTAGATGAAAATAGAAATTAATATAGAAATTTGAGGAAATAATGAGTAAATGAGTTAGCATATTGTTCTTCGGCACTATTATATGCATTATTATCAAAATCCATCAGGTAATCCATTATAAGCATAAAACTAAAGAATTACACACCGAATTTAAAACGTTACGTTCCTGATTGTCAACGAAAGTGACGTATTTCGTCAGGCGTCGACGTACAACTTCTAGTCATTTCTCCAAGTTAATCGGTAGTGGATGTGCTGGTCAAAGGAAGTGGTAGTTAACTTCATAACCACGTTTTGTAAAAGTCATTCAAAAAAAAAAAACTTGAAGTTAACTCGAACTTGATAGTTAACTGTCCATTGTACAACCGGGCCTTATAGTGTGGTTGCACGTCATAGTCCAAAAAGTTAACAACACTAGTACTAACACAATTATTAACTAAACAATACCTATAAGTAATTGTAGTTAACGAAATAAACAGTTTTCACACTACTTACTATTATTCGTGGTCTCTGCAATCATATTTATAAATATATATTTACAAATCAATTTATGAAGTCAATCACTTTCTAATTGACAAGTGACATTTTGATGAGCAAAACGAAGATAAGACAAATTCGGGAAAGAACTGCTGCGAGTTGTCGCTATTATTATTAGGAGCTTTTAATATAATGGCTTTGTTGTAGTATCTGAATATTCTTACTTGATCAGGAAGGACAAAGAATTATAAATCCATACAATACTTTGCCTTTGTATCAAAATACAACGTCTGACCTGAAACAAGCCAATTTATTCTAACTTACTTCTCCTTTTCTATGTCAAAATTACAAATGCGTTGATTGGTGGATTTCATATCTAGTCGTGTTAGGATATGAATTCATATCCGTTCAATTAGCTGCAGTTGCATAGATTTCCATTCAGTATGTAATTTATAAAAGTGTGAATATACATTTGGAAGTAGAAAAAAAAATTAACAATACACGCATGTAACGGTTTTACTGGCTCCAGAAGGTGACCGACTCGCCTGTCTTTTCTTTCAAAAGTATTTCTTCTGTCCACCAGTAGAAACACTTTTACCATGCTAGTAATTTCAAATACTATTCAGTTGACAATAATACTTGACCGATGTAGTCAAAATAGTAAAATAATAGTAAAAGTTCACAGCAAAAAATTAAAAGTCACAGATTCAGAAGCACATCACATTTTGAGTTCATTTATGCATTGCCGTTAGTAGTGATTTGATGAAAATGAAAAGTAGATTAACAAAGCTCGTAAGAGTGTTTATTCAAATGGAAATATAATTAGTTAATTACACACAATTGAAACTTTCTAGACCTCAATGAAATATTTCCAATTTTGTGCCCATTTTTCACGCAAAACTGTTTTAAATTCTTTGAAATTTCAAGCAATACCAAAATTTATGGGGGGTTGTGCCAAAATCGTTTGAACCATTTTATATAAGTAGACAAAATAATGTTACTCTTATTATACTTTGTATATTTGTTTTTAAGTAAAATTTCGAAAATAGGCCTAAAAGCTAGCAGTAAATTGTGTTTGATCAAATAAAAAACTAAACACCAACGTTAGGAAAAAGGAACTGCGTTAAAATGTAGCTTCATACACCTTCCATCCTTAATTTTAAAAGTTTCACCAAAATGTGTTTTTTTTTAAGGTTTAGGTTGTTTATCTAAAATTGTCGCTGTTCAGGGACACAAGGTAGTTTGAACAGTGGATAAGGACCACTAGATTTATTGGGACACCCTTCGACGCCACAGTTTTTTGTAATTTGTAAATGCAAGATTGTATTTTGTGCCAAACTGATAGTGACAAATGTAAGTTTTCCTTGTACCAACTTTCCTTGCTATCCACGACTGATTTTAAAAACTGGAGAATAGGCTGTGATTACGAGTTCTTGCGATGTTGCCATCGCGAGTTATTCCGAGCCTGGTAAAGTTTGTCCAGAATTATAAGAATTTTATGGACTCCCAACGTTAATTCGTTTTACAGCCCAGGCCTCAATTCTATTGTACAGGTAAAGAGCCTGTCAGGGGAAAGCCGATGTTTTCTGTACCTGAGTTCGCCCCGCTCTTCAGCTGTACAATGAAATCGACAACAGGGCTGTAAAAGGAATTAACTTTGGGAGTCCATAAAATTCTTATAATTCCAGACAAACTTTAATTAACGTAAGCCAACTAAAGCAGAATTTAAAAAATCCTCCGATATATTAATACATATTTTTGTTAGTTTTTGACAGAGATGACCCACTCCTAAGAGGAGTGACGATTTTTTAAAACTAAAATTGCCCAACTATTGTATTTTTCAATATTCAAAACCACTACAACCGTGTTGTAACATAATTGAAGTAAAAACTAAAAAAAAAAAAAATCGAATGTTTCTGTCGCTTTGTGTTCATTTCACACTGTAAAACAGTTTGAGCGTGAATCTCCGTATAGCTCAAATGTTTTATTTTCTCGGTGGTTGGATCTGAGCATGTTGAAACATTTTATCTTATCGAACGTTTGGGAAGTCAGTTGGACCAGTCGGAAAAATATCAATTGGCTTTAATGTATACAAAACGTTACGTCTTTTTTATGTTTTTCCTGTCTCGTCTGGATTATTATTATTTGTTATTTGGAAGACCATATAAAGTACACTATATTCACTTGTCGGTCTTTATAACGCACCCTGAAAACGTTAGTATCCTTAGGGTAATATAAATTTTTAATGTCATCATTTATGTGCAGGAATTCCTGCTAGCGATCGATGTAACGTCAAGCGGTACTCCGGAAGAAAAACTGAAGTGGGCTTTTCGAATGTACGACGTTGACGGTAATGGTGTTATAGACATTCAGGAAATGACCAAGATTGTGCAGGTAAGTTTTTATCGCACTATAAATATGTGATAATTGTAATCTTTAAATATTTAACAATAACGAATACATTGTGGTGTTCAATATGCTAAAAGTTATACTTTACATAAATTTATGTCAAATGAAAACGAATCACATTGACGTTTCGTTTTTAGAGAAAATTGACACAAGACAAACTTCATTTCGTCACGTTGTTCTCCTGACTCTGAGAGTGCAACTACTCAAAAGTTTTCATCATTTGAAAGAAGCGCAAATAGGATATTGTTGAGACTTAAAATTATGCTGGAACAATCTACTTATGATACATTCCTATCTATACCGAGTACCTACCCCATTGTTACTGTTAATTAATTATTTACTAGTGCTTTATAAAAGTGTATTAATTTAAATCAGTAATTTCCTATTAATTAATCAGCTCACTCTTCTAATATGCACAAGTGTTAAAAAGTTCGTAGAAAAATAATGAACTTTAATTTAAAAATCTACGTAAAATAAAATAAGGGTGAATTATTAAACTACGGTTAAAGGAGCGGACCACGCTGTATGTTTCAAGTGAAGTTTTCTAAAAAAAAATATTTGATGTTGTCATCTTTTTTACTTCCCGAGCGTAAGCAAAGGAAGTATTGTAATCGAGTCCATCGGCCGACTCTCTACTTTTACGTTTTCTCGATCTTTCATGACCCCTAGATGACGAAGAAATAGGTCTGCCATTTCCGTCTGTCTGTCCGTCTGTCCGTCTGTCTGCCGTCCCGGATTTTTATTAGACATATAATCTCCGAAAGTACTAGACCGATTGTTGTGAAATTTTGTACTTATATTAGGAATATCGTGTAGATGGTAAAACGCTAACCAAAATTTGTCTAATCATCCTCACCACTAATGCGATGACGTCACTTCAAAATTGTACATAGTAAATGGGTTTTAAATTGTATAAAATAACATAGTCCTACACATGTAGTTTACAACTCCGAATTGAGTTTTCATCCGAAACGTCCAGATTTTTGGAAAAAAAATCAAAATTATAAAACAACATTTTGAAATTTAATTTTGAATCTGCTAACCCGAATGCTTTGAAATGTTGCAGATGTTTTAAGGCTATAAAGAGCATCATAAATCTTTAGTCAAAATATATTTGGTTATCCCCTCCAAAAACTTGATGACATCAGCTCAAAAGTTTGCCGAATAAATCATATCTAAAATGTACAAAATATGATGAGTCTGTACTTGTGATCTATCACTCCATTCATATTTTTTCAAGTTGCATATACAGGGTGACTCAAAAAAATTAATGAATGCGTAAATTTATTTTACTGATTTACTCAGGAACTACAAAACCCAATGCTTTGAAATCTTGCAGATGTTTTAAGGTTATAAAGAGCATAATAAATGTTTAGTCAAAATATTTTTGCTAATCCTCTCCAAAAAATTGATGACGTCAGCTCGAAAGTTTACCGAATAAAACCTATCTAAACTGTAAAAATATGATGAGTCTGTACTTGTGATTTATCACTCCATTCATATTTTTTGGATTTGCATATACAGGGTGACTCAAAAAAATTAATGAATGCGTAAATTTATTTTATTGATTTAATCAGGAACTACAAAACCGAATGCTTTGAAATCTTGCAGATGTTTTAAGGTTATAAAGAGCATAATAAATGTTCAGTCAAAATATATTTGGTTATCCCCTCCAAAAACTTGATGACGTCAACTCAAAAGTTTGCCGAATAAATCATATCTAAAATGTACAAAATATGATGAGTCTGTACTTGTGATCTATCACTCCATTCATATTTTTTGGATTTGCATATACAGGGTGACTCAAAAAAATTAATGAATGCGTAAATTTATTTTATAGATTTACTCAGGAACTACAAAACCGAATGCTTTGAAATCTTGAAGATGTTTTAAAATTACCATAAGCATGGTAAATTTTTTATCAAAATGTATTTGGTCGTACCCCCTAAGAAATGTATGACGTCACCACAAAATTTTGCTAAATAAATCCTATCTAAAATGTACAAAATATGATGAGTTTTTTCTTGTGATTTATCATTCCATTCATAGTTTTTGGATTTGCATATACAGGGTGACCCAAAAAAATTAATGAATGGGTAAATATATTTTATTGATTTGATCAGGAACTCCAGAACCGAATGTTTTGAAATTTTGCAAATGTTTTAAGGTTATAAAGAGCATAATAAATTTTTAGTCAAAATATATTTGGTTATCTTCTACAAAAAACTCATGACGTCAGCTCAAAAGTTTGTCGAATAAATCCTATCTAGAATATACAAAATATGATGAGTCTGTACTTGTAATTTATCATTCCATTCATATTTTTTTAATTTGCATATACCGGGTGACTCAAAAAAAAATAGTGAAATCTACTGTGAAAAAAAAACATAATAGACATGCAGTCGTGACGTTTCGACAGCGAGGGAAGTACTGTCTAAACTCTTTAGACCAATTTTTTTGTAGACAAATTAATGTATTAGTTTTGACACAGGAGTTCTGTTTCTGAAAAATGAATGAGCTATTTTTATGTAATCAGTAAATTAATTGTTTATTCATTAATTTTTTAAGACAGTTAAAAAAAAATTTCGAATGTTATGTCGACAGAACTTCCCTCCCTTCTGAAGTAGGTACAATAAAACATATCCAGCTTTTTCGAAAAATTATAAAATTTGATTTTGTGAATTTTACTTTTTTGTGAGAACCCCTATAAGTTGAAATAAATAAACATGTGTAAATCTGTAATGTTAAAGCAAATGTAAAGAATCGCGTTACGCGCATGTTTTAAATGAGTTTTTCCTTTACAAAATTTGTGATGAACTCATCAATATTTTTCAAGGATATGTATATCAATTTGGATAGGTGCAGTGTAATACTAATAATAACAGTACTGTATTGCCAAACTTTCGAGAAAATGAAGTGACCCGCCCCCGATTTAATCATATTTTGCACATTTTCAATAGGATTTCTGCTGCAGACGACGTCCTCAATTTTTTGAGGGGGATAAGTAGATATATTTTGATTAAAAATTTACTATTCTTACGATAACTTTAAAACGTCTGCAAGATTTCAAAGCATTTGGTGTTGCAGTTCCTGGTTTAATGGATAAAATAAATTGGCTCATTCATTAATTTTTTTGAGTCAGCGTGTATAAGCAATTTAAAAAAATATAAATGGAATGATAAATCACAAGTATAGACTTATCATATTTTGCATATTATTTATTCGGCAAAATTTTGAGATGACGTTATCAGTTTTTTAAGGAGATAAATATATTTTGGTTTTGCAGTAAATTGCATATAGTTATACCATTTTAATTTTTTTTTCCAAAAATATATATACTATAGAAGTATAGTAGTAATACAATGTTACTATATTTTATTATTGCCGTGGTTGCCGAATTTGGAATTTTTTTGAAATTACTTATCACCTGTTGACAACAAAGTGTTGCTTCACTGTAGATCAAGGCCAACTGAATCCATCACGCTTGGCGCGTGATAAGGCGCCTCCTTAAAAAATGAGGTTTTCACGAAGCAAGCCTTGGAGTTTAGAAAGTGGTGTCCTCTATCCTCAATAATAAAAACTAGTATCAAATCGTAACTTCCCAAACCAAAGATGAGGGGTTTTAAATTCCACGATGACATTAGACTTCTTACAGATTGTGTTTGATAAATGCGACGGCCGGTATTATTTCCTCATCCTATTTAAAGGCCTTATACGGTTTGCAAAGAAGATGGCCTTTGAAACCCGTCAGATATCTAACGAAAAAGCATTTATTTCCCTCGAATCTTGAAAAAAATTAATGTTTTGCGGGCTGTGCAGATATTTTCCCCAACGGTTACCTCAGCACTAAAATTATTAAAGGAAGATATATATGAAGATTTTGATGATAGTGATGCAACTATTTTGTATATGGAAAATATGTTTAATTTTTTTCGAGTCCATAACATCTCAAGTCGAAAACATCACATTCATGCACTCGATAGCGACGTTGCCCTAGCCAGTTTTACCAGCTACTCGATATCATAATGCACATATAAAATTTGACAACAATCAGTGCAGTAGTTTCGGAGATTATCTGTTTATAAAAATCTAAACTGACGGCAGACAAACAGACTCTGATTCCGTCCCAAAAAATTGATGGCGTCATCACAAAATTTTGCCGAATAAATCGTGTGTGAAATACGACTTGTGGTTTATCAATGCACTCATACTTTTTAGAATTACTTATCCAGTGTGACTCAAATAAATAAATTAATGAATGAAGCAATTTATTCTATTACTTAAATCAAGAACGACTCACTCCATTTCCTCAAAAATTTGGAAATTCAGCACTCTTATTATTAGTATTGCACCGCATCTTTCCAAATTAATAAACGTTTCATTGCAAAAATGGTCATGCCGTCACAAAATTTTATAATTGAAAAAAAATGAAACAAACGCGTTGCACGCTTATACAGGGTTAGTCACGAGAGAATTACTTCTGAAAATTATTTTTACGCAACCCAAAATACTAATACCCTGTACCACTTGATATTATCTAAATTTAAAATGAAATGCCTAATCCATGATTGCTTTGACTTTGGCAGTGTCACTTTGACGTTAATTAATTTTTAACATTTTTTTTCATCGTTGACTCGCCTCTAGGCCCCCATTCGATCGACGACATACAGTCAGATCAATCTGGGCTATACTGAAGCCGTAAGTGCTCTACCAATGTTGTTCGCCGCTAATGTGCATGTGTTAATTCGCCATCTCTGCGTCACCTAGAGCCTCTTCGAAGTGCAAATCTGCAACCTCTGGACTTCTTCGGCCATCCATTTACAAAAAAGCCGTAGCATCCCCCCAAAATGCCCAACATTTTCAACAGATTAGTAGATTAAATTATTTACTTACTTGTTTGAGTTTGTGTTGTAACCTTTGATTAAAATGCCGTAAAAGGAATTTTTAGAAATAATTTTCTCCTGATTAATCGGTTGCAAAAGATC